CACCGCCCGCTGCGCCATGGCTCCCTGGCCACTGCCGCCGTCGCTGCTGCTGCTGCTGCTGCTGCTGGGGGGCTCCACCGCGCGCCCCGCGGCCCTCAGGTGAGCCCGCGTCCGCGCCCCTCCCGCCCGGCGCTGCCCACCCGGTCTGACCTCGCCTCTCCCCAGGGCTCCGCGACACTCTGACGGGACGTTCACCAGTGAGCTCAGCCGCCTGCGGGACAGCGCGCGGCTGCAGCGGCTGCTGCAGGGCCTGGTGGGGAAGCGCAGGAGAGCAGTCTGGACCGGGCCCCGGCGGCGGGACATGCCCGGTGCCCCGGCTCCAGGACTAATTTTGATTTGGGGTGGAACAGCGAGCAGGACACCGAGAACCGCACCTCCTGGTTTCAACCCACAGAGGGCCAGGTGTGCCTGCTGTGGTCAGACGAGCCAGCCCTGCAGGCCTGGTGAGCACCCTCGGCCTTCACCCACATCCAGCCAGCCCTTTCTCCCGTCCCCTGCCACCTCAGGGCTGCTGCTGGCCAGGCAGTGGTCTCTAGCTGCCATCCCAGCCCTTGGCTTCATGTCTCTGCAGGATGCCACCCAGAGCCCCTCTGCATCAGGTCTGGTCTCCCTGGCTGCCTAGTGTGGCTAGGCCTGGTCACAGTTCCAGAGGCGGCTGAAACCACCCAGTGGCCCAGATGAGGACAGAGGAGGACCAGAGAGGACCCTGGGGCTGGGAGGGGCTGTACTGGGCACTAATAAAGGAAGAACTCAGACTCGCCTCAGGAGCCCACTGTGCATATCTCCTTACACCAGGGCAGCCCCTGCACATCAGGCTGCCAGGAGGGAGGAGGGCCCTATCCTCCTGCTCCAGGTCTCCAGGTGACCACACCCAGCTGCCCTTTACACCTGGGTGACCGTCAGGCACTTGCCCTTATCGCTGGCCTCAGGGCCACCTCCTGTCCACTGGCTGAACTTCCAGCTCCGCTCCCCCCACTTTGTAATCCACTTAGTGAACGTGCAGTGTTCAGGGTGCTGCTGTCTCAGGGGCCATGTGGGTCAGTGTGAAGGGAGGGGCACAGACGCTCAGGTGGGGCAGGAAGGAAGGGAGCCACCCAGGATGCGTCCCCTGGAGCAGGAGGACTGGAGAGGATATCCTGGTGACACATGTCCAGGCCAAGGGTGGTGTGATCTCAGCAGGGCCTGTGCAGCAAGGGACAGTGGTGTCAGCCCCAAGGGGTGGGCTGCAGCAGGCATGTGGGTGCACCAGAGGGTGGGTGGGGCCTGAGGTGGGACTGCCCAGTGAAGAGGGATCAGGAGTCTCAGGAAGGCCACTCAGGCATGCGGTGCCCCACAGCCTCCCCCTTCCTCAGACCTCAGTGGCCTCTCCCAGCTCTGAGGGATTTGGAGGCCAAAGAAAGGAAGGGGCAGGGTAGGTGGAGCTCTGGGCTGAGGAGCCTCACCAGGACTCTGCTCTGTCGGTTACCAGGGCCCCCCCGGAGGGCACAGTGGTCCCTGAAGCCCTTCACTGGGCCCTGCCAGGCCCCTGGGAGCTAACTAGTCTCTGAGGCAGGCAGCGGTGCCGCGGGACAAGGGGCTTTTCCTGCAGGACGGATGCAGGGATGGCCAAGGACCTGGAAGGGACACTGGGTCTGAGCCCCAAGGAGTGGCCGCCAGAATTTGGCCTCAATAAAATTCCAGTGGCAGAGCCTAGCAGGACAGCCTTGATCAGGGGTTGGGTAGAGCAACCCAAAGCCTGGCCTAGTCCCTTCCCCACCTGTGCCCACCCCTAGCTTCAGCAGCCCTGCCCCCCAGCTCTGCACCCACAGCCCCAGGTCCATGGCCCCCAGCTCTGCACCCGCAGCCCCAGGTCCATGCCCCCCAGCTCTGTCCCCACAGCCCCAGTCCAGCTCTGCCCGGCCCTGCTCCAGCCCTGCCCCCCAGCTCTGCACCCGCAGCCCCAGGTCCATGCCTCCCAGCTCTGTCCCCATGGCCCTGCTCCAGCCCTGCACCCCAACTCTGTCCCCACAGCCCCAGGTCCATGCCCCCCAAGCAGCTTGCAAGCTCCTCTATGCCCTGTGTTTGGAATCAGTGGTTCTCATTCCCAGTGGATGCCTGAATGTGGCCCAGATCAGGCTGAATGACCACTCCACATCCTCCTGCTGGTGCCCTGCGTCTGGCCGGCCAGCGGGAGTCCCCTTGGTGGAAGCCTGTGGTAAAGGGCCATAAAGTGGGGCGGCGCTTGGCAGGGGCGAAGGTCGCCGAGGCAGGAACTGTACCAGCCCTGACGCCAGAGAGCTGGACCCTCCCGTCAGATGACAGCGGCCAAGATGGGGGCTCAGGCCCTGCGATGGCCTCCCCTGCTGCTGGCGCTGCTCACCGTGCTGCTTGGCCATTCCCCGGGAGCCACAGCCCAGACTCAGGGTACATGCTGGAGGTGGGGGGGCGGTGGGGTGGGGGCTGGGAGGCACTGACCTGTCCTCTCCAACTTCCCAGTCTGCTCGGTGGACAAGACCTTCCTCCAAGTGCAGGAGAATGAAAACATCACGGAAGCCCTGGTGAACATCTCCGTCCCAGATGGCCAGCAGGTGACCCTCGGATCCTCGTCCACCCCATCCGCATTTCGGATCCTAGAAAACCAGCTCTTTCTCAGCGTGATTCCTGATTATGAGGTGCAGGCAGTAGCCGGGGTGGGGTGTTTCTAGGGTCCCCTGCGGGGAGAAGACCTGGGGGTGGCCAGGGCTCTGCCTCCCCAGGCATTGACTGACCCTTCAGGCCCCATCCTGGGCCGGGCCTCGTCCATTAGGGAGCAAGGCTGCCTAGCGTCTCCTCCTCCTCCCCTGACTTACCACCCATGACCACCTGGGCGAGCTCTGCCCTCAGCCTCGGGCTCCTGGCCTGTGGAGTGGGACGTGTGCCACCACCAGGCAGGTGACCTGCAAGACCGACTTGCCTCCACAGGAGAATACGATGCTGGAGGCACACCTGGAGTGCAAGAGGGGGGACACCGTGGTGAGTGCACCTGTCTCCCTGGCCCTGGGCCCTCCTCTGTGACCTCACCCAGGGAGTGTTTCCAAACTCCAGCCCTCCCGGCTACACCCTCACTTCCTCCAGCCCAGACTCGGACCTGAGTTTCAGACTCACAAACCCAGCTGCGGACACACTGTCACGGACATTGGCCCAACAAGCTCCCGAGACTCCCCTGAGCCCCTGGCCCCAGCACCTGGAAGCACCCTGGCCTGCTGACTGCTCCACCAGGCTTCCTTCCCACTAGCCCGCCCTCAGGAGCAAGTGTGGGCTCCGCCTCAGGCAGCCCCAGAACCCCCCCTTCCTACCTCCACATCCCACCAGGGCCTTGGTCACCAGCTTCCCCTTTCTGGAACCTTCCTACTGGTCCCTTTCCTCTCTTGCCCCTGGTCCATCCGTCCCCTCTCTGGGTGGGAGGTCTCAGGAGAGCCTAGGAGACCCAGCCCCGCCCGGCACAGCCCAGCACTTCCACAGCTGCCTTCGCACTAGGAGTCCAAGCCCAAGGGCTGCTGTGGTGGGCCAGGCTGGGTGTGTGGCCTGGCCTGGTGCGCCCGTCCCCTCACCTGCTCAGGTGGGCAGGGAAACCTTTCCTCTTTGGTGGACTCCATCCACCCTGCTGTGCTGCAGTGGCAGCCCTCCTCCTACACTCCCACAAGCTGGAAAGCCACAGGAGCTGCCCCACCCCAGCTCCACCGTGAGCAGCCCCTGCCCTGCACCAGGCCACACCGCCGCAGTCCCCACAAGTATCTCAGCAGTCGTCTCTAATAGGTGGGCACCTGGGGCTGGGGCTGGCTCAGTGGCAGAGCACTTGCCTAGCAGGTGTGAGGCACTGAGTTCCATCCTCAGCACCACATAAAAATCCACAGATAAAATAAGGTCTGGTGTCCATCTACAACTAAAAAATATATATTTAAAAAAACTTTTAAAAAATAGGTCGGGACCCTTCATTTTAAGCACAGCTCAGTGGCAGAGAGCTGGCCTTTGCCTCCTGTGTGAGGGGACCTGGGTTCCATCTCCAGCACCACAAAGAAAACAAGACACATTCTCCTGCCCTGTCCACCGGAGAAGGGCGGTTCCCCTCGCCATCTGAACCCTGGTGTGTCCACCTGTCCTGGGCCTCTGAGAGTCTGCCTCGGCTTGTCTGAATGGGAGCAAAGTCCAACCCAGGGGCTGGCGATCTCCCTGCAGGTGCCTTCCACTCTGAAGGCCCCTCTCCCTGCTTCGTTGTTCTTGAGGAAGCGTGACATCTAACACGTGTCCTCTTTTTATCTATCTAGATCTATTTTTTAGTGAAAGGTGGACACCATGTCTTTATCTCATATCCACGTGGTGCTGAGGAGGGAACCCAGTGCCTCACGCGTGCGAGCCGAGTGCTCCACCTCCGAGCCCCAGCCCAGCCCCCAGGGTCCTCTTTTGAGGTTCTGCTGGTAGCCTCCTCAGGCCACTTATCTGTCCCCGGAGTGCTTGCCACCTCCGGCCACCTTGGTAACCTACCTGTGTGGTCTGGGAGCCCCAGGGCTGAGTCTGGTCCCTGGTGATGGGCCCTGCCCTGCTGGGTCACCATCACCTTCAAACAAACAAGCAGAAGGGAAAGTGGGCGAATGGACGACCACCCGGGTGGATGGACAGGAGTGAGGCAGGAGTGAGGCAGGCAGCCGGGAGGGCTGTGGCCAAGGCTGTCGACCCCCAGGTGACGCAGCTGAGGGTGTTTGTGGTGGTGCTGGATGTCAACGACAACGCCCCAGAGTTCCCCTTCACCACCAAGGAGCAGGACGTGCAGGAGGTGAGTCGGGCGGAGCCAGAGCTGGCACTGCCTGGGCTGGGCACTGGGCGGATGTGGGCCCAGAGGGCTAGTGGCTAGGGGCTCCTCCAGGACACTGGTCCACAGAGGCCATGCCTGTGTCTGCCCCCAGGACACCAAAGTGAACTCTACGGTCATCCCTGAGGCAGAACTACAGGCCACGGACCGTGACAAGGACAGCACCTTATTCTACACCCTACAGGAAGTGACCCCAGTCAGTGGTACCCCAGCCCTGCCCAACACTGGCCCTTGGCTTCTGAGCCACTGCTCCTTGATCCCCCAGGGGCTCAGCTGTGGCTCCCTCTCCCCAGGGTGCTGGCAGCTTCTTCTCCCTTTTGGGGGTGAACCGCCCTGCCCTGAGGCTGGACCGGGCCCTGGACTTCTACCAGTGGCAGAACATGACCTTCCGGCTGCTGGTGCGGGTGAGTGGTACCCCAGTGAGTCCTGGATGCTCAGGCCCTGTTTGAGGTCCCCTACCTGACACCGCAGAGCTGTTACAGGACACAAGGGAGGAGCACCAGGAGCCCAGCCACACAGCCACGGCCACCCTGGTCCTGAAGGTGCTGCCCGCTGACCTGCGGCCACCCTGGTTCTTGCCCTGCTCCTACTCAGACGGCTCCATCTGCATCCAGGCTCAGTACCGGGGGGCCATCCCCACAGGACACACACTGGTAATGGGGGCCCGCCGGCAGGGACGGGCTGGAGTGCAGAGTGGGGTCTGGGAGGCTCAGGGCGGGAGCCTGGGGCCTGGGCTCTCCAGGGGCAGTGGCCGACTTCAGTGACGATTTTGGAAGAGCTGTGAATGAGCATTTTCTCCCAAACCGCCCACCCAGCCTGGGGTAGTGTGTGTACCAACCACCGCAGCGTGGGAGCCCTGCCTGGTGAGGTCAGCCAGAGGTGGGGCTGGAGGGGCCAGCTGGGCCGCCTGAAGGACAGCTGAGCAAGGCCCCTCCCTAGGGCTGGCCTCCCAGGCAGGCCTGATCACTCTGTGCCTCCCGACCCATGACCCATGAGGTGCCTTGAATTCGCCTGTAGCTGCCCTGACCGCGACAGGCACTGCCCGGCCCTTCTCCTCTGCCCTCTGTGCTCCAAGCCTGTGTTTCAGACCCCGAGGAGCAGGGGAAGGGCCGACTGGGGCCATCGGCACCAGCCCCACCATGACCCCCACCCCCACAGCTGTCCCCCCTCATCCTGCGTCCGGGGCCCATCTATGCTGTGGACGGAGATCGGGGCATCAACGAGCGGGTCATCTACAGCATTATAGGGGGTGAGAAAAGACCTGCCCCCGCCCATGGTACCACAGACCCCTGCCTTGGACTCAGGCTGAACCAGCCAGGATCCTGGACCTTAGGGAGGGGACCAGGGTCTAAGTTCTGCCCCACCTCCTCTCAGGAAACAAGGACAACACATTTGCCATCGACTCAGACTCTGGCAACCTCACCATGACCAAGAGTGTCCCCAGCCCCATGACATTCCTGCTACTGGTCAAGGTGGGTGCCGGCATGGGGCAGCAGGATGTCAGCTGCACTTTCACTGGCCTGCTGGCCACTACTGCCTCTCCTTTCCTAGGGTGAACAGGCTGATCTGGCCCGTTACTCGGTGACCCAGGTCACTGTGGAGGCCCGCCAGGCCCATGGGAGCCAGCCCCACTTCTCCCAGAGCCTGTACCGAGGCACTGTGGCCCCTGGCTCTGGGTCTGGTGTGGCTGTCAAGGATGCCACCTCCCCCTCTCAGCCTCTGAGGATCTGGGCTCAGGACCCCGAGTTCCCGGTAGGCGGCCCCCTCCTGCCCATCCAGGAGCCCCGTAACCTGGCCCAGTCCCAGGGTCTGCTCGCCCCCGGGTGGGTGGGCTTGGGGTGAAGAGTGGGGGCAGCCCAGGCCCAGGACTCACTGCAGCCACACCCAGGACTTGAACTCGGCCATTACCTATCAAATCACCAACTGCTCCGAGTTCCGGATGGCCGGAGAGATGGTGCTGACTGCCACGGCAATAGAGCAAGCCGGGGTCTTCTACGCAGAGGTAGGGAAGTGTGTCTGAGGGTGGGGGACTGCAGAGGGACTCTGCAGGGACAAGCCCCCCTTCCCACCCCAGGTGGAGGCCAGGAACACGGCGACTGCGGGTGTAGCCACCACTGTTGTTGAGATTCGCGTTTCAGAGCAGGAGCCCCCGTCCACAGGTAAGCCTCTGGGGGGCCCTCTCCAGGATGGCTCCTACCCGGGGCAGGTGGGCTGGGTGCAGAGGCAAGCCTGGCACTGTCCCTGGCTCCCTAGGCTCCCCAGAGCCCCCCACATCCCCAGAGACTGGAAGAACAACTGGGCCCTGGAGCAGCACCACTTCGGAAGCCCCCAGGCCCCCTGGGACCTCTCAGGGACCCTCAACAACCAGCTCTGGGGGTGGCAGTGGCCCTCATCCACCCCTAGGCACAACTCTGAGGCCACTGACCTCACCCACACCCGGGGGACCCACCAGCCTGGGAGTGGGCACCTCGACCCAACCAGCCACGCCCGGTGGGGGCTCAGCACAGACCCAGAAGCCTGAGACCCCTGGGCCCACGGCTCCCGGTCCGGGAGTGGGCACCTCCCCTCAACCCCCCCCCCCCTGTGGGGGCTCAGCACAGACCCAGAAGCCTGAGACCCCTGGGCCCACGGCTCCCGGTCCGGGAGCGGGCACCTCCCCTCAACCAGCCCCCCCCAGTGGGGGCTCAGCACAGACCCAGAAGCCTGAGACCCCTGGGCCCACGGCTCCCGGTCCGGGAGCGGGCACCTCCCCTCAACCAGCCACACCCAGTGGGGGCTCAGCACAGACCTCAAAACCAGGGACTTCTCCAACGACCACCCCCGATGTGGGAGCAGGCACGTCACGACCAACCACGCCCGGTGGGGGCTCAGCACAGACCCAGAAGCCTGGGACCTCTCGGCCCACGGTCCCTGGGCCCAGCAGGAGCCCCCCACCCTCAGGTAGTCCCCACCCCACTTGTCCTAGCTCAGAACCTGGGTGGTCCAGGGTCGCCTCTAGGACAGAGTCCCAGGCAGGGGTCTGTCTGGTGAGAACAGTCAGCCCAGGAGCCCCCAAAGCTGCACTAGGAAGGTGTGGGGTGCAGGGCAGGGGGCAGATTCGAGATCCAGCGAGCTGAGTTGCCAAGGCCGTTGGTAATTTAGGATCTTAAGACAGAGAGCACCCCTTCAATGATTAGGAGAGATACAGGCTGAAATTCATACTGGACAGCTGCATCAGGTTTGTGGCTAGGCTAGAAGCTGAGGCAGGATTTCTTGAGCCCAGGATTTTGAGGCCAACCTGGGCAACAGAGTGAGCCCTGTCTTAAAAAACAAAACAAACAACAACAACAAAAAACACTGATTGTATCACACGCTGGGGGTACTGGTACACCTGAGGCCACACAGGAGTTTGTGGCCCAGGGGACCTGTGTGCTAGCCCTGTACTAAGGAGTCTTGGTGGGTTTAGAGCAAGCAGAATCAAGTTCCAGAGGTCTGCCGTGGTCTCAGGACCTATCTGTGCAGTGAGCAGGGTACAGCACAGGGAGCCAGCCTCCTCCCAGATTCCCAGAGACAGTGGCATAAGGCAAATCCCTGGGGCTATGGAACTGGAAACGAGTCAGGTGCAACTGAACACTGTTTCTGGTCCAAGCCCAACATACATTCAAAACGGATGCAGAGACTACGTGAGACTGAATTCCCTGTAGCCATTCATCCTGTTGTATCCGAAGTTGCTTCCTCCCTGGAACACCCTGTCCTAGGGGGACCCTGGGCCTTGGTGTGCTCACAACATCTCCCTGGTGGGGGCCAACAGCACCTGCCCCTCAGAACCCACAGCTCTGGTAGGGGGCAGCCAAAGGCTGGCTTGTTTTCAGGATGCCTGGCTGGCACAGGCTGGCACAGGCTGGCGAGGTGTGCCACAGTGGATGACCATGTCTTCTGCAGGGACGCCAGGAAGCAGCACAGGAGGAAGTGTCCCAATACAGGATGACCAGCACTTCTCCATAGTGGACATGGCAGTGCTGGGAGGGGTGCTGGGTGCACTGCTGTTGTTGGCCCTCCTGGGCCTGGCCATCCTCATTCACAAACACTATGGTCACCGACTGAATTGCTGCTCTGGCAAAGCTGCGGTGAGATCCCTTGTGGGAGCTAGGGCCTAGCAGGGCAGATGACAGTGACAGAGACAGACAGAGGGGCAGAGGAGAGAAGTGGGGAGGGAGGGAGACAAGCAGAGGGATGAAACATGGGGCAGAGAGAAGGCAGGACGTAGAGTACGGCGCTCTTCTGTAATCGCAGCAACTTGGGAAGCTTAGGTAAGAGGCTAATAACTTCAAAGCCAGCCTCAGCCACAGTTTAGCAGGATCCAGTTAAAAAAAATAATAATAAGGGCAGAGAGGGGGCTGGGTGTGTGGTTCAGCGGATAAGCACCCTTGGGTCCAAGCCAAGGTTCAAGGGGGGGAAAAAAAGAGGGGGAGATAGTGGAAAGGTGTAGAGATAGAGGTGGAGATGGCGATAGGAGAGCTGGAGGAGATAAGGGGGTGGGGAGTTGGAATGGGATTGTCAGGGGACCAGCAGGGGACCAGGGTTTAGTGACTCTGGGAAGGAGCAGCCAGTGTACACGCCAGGGTCACAAAACAGGGCAAGGGCAGAAGCCTACAGAGGGGAGGGACCAGAGTCCCGCTGATATCCTTGCTGTGCCCACAGGAGCCCCAGCCCCACGGCTTTGACAATCAGGCCTTTCTGGGGGACCAGGAGGCCAACTGGGCACCTGCCCCTAGCCCCAGTCCGGGGCCCAAGTCTGTGGAGGTGCCACTGGAGCCGCCCAGCCCCGGGTCCCCTGTCCCTGAGCCTCCCAGCACGGAGTCCCCAGACCCAGGTCCCTTCGCCAGTGCCCCTGAGTCCCCGGTGGCCGCCAGGGCTGTGGACAGCCCCTCAGCAGTGAGATCCATCCTGACCAAGGAGCGGCGCCCCGAGGGCGGCTACAAGGCCGTGTGGTTCGGCGAGGACATTGGGGCCGAGGCCGACGTGGTTGTCCTTAACGCACCCACCGCGGACGCGGACGGCGCGGGCGACTCTGACAGCGAGGACGCTGGCCAGGGCTGGGGTCCCCGCGGCGCGCCTGCGCCGGAAGACGACTCCACCTACATCTAGCTAGACCTCTCTGCTCGCCCGCAACGGGCCTGGACCCAGGGTCCACTCGCCGCCCCACTTCTCTCGCAGAATAAAATTTCACTTTCGAATCCCAGAATCCGAGGCGATGGGCGGCTGTTCGAGAATTGGTGCAGGGAGGTTGGCCACACCTTCCAGTGGCTCCAGGCGGACATGGAAGAGGCGGGCGGTGCTTCTCGTAAACCAGCTGCTGCCCCGCCCGCGCCGCCGGGCTTCCGGAGGCCTTCTGGACCGCTGGTAGCCAGGAAGTTCCTCTCCTGGTCTCACCACAGTCCAGGGGGGCGGGGGGCGCACCAGAGATCTCCACCTGGCGCCTCACGACCCCAGCGGAGACTCCGTGGGGGTGGGCTGGAAGGAGCCAGCGCAAATCCCCGGGAAGACTTGCTTGGGAGAGGGATCTCGCAGGGGAAACAGACTCCTTCGGAAGTCTATGAGGTCGGCCGCGGTGGGGGCGAACCCCCTGGGCGCCGCGGAGGGACAGGGCCCAGCGCCAGCACTGAGACGTTCGGCGCGGCGGCTGGGAGCATCCCAAGATGACTGGAGCTAGCAGCCGGGGTCTGCTGCCCAAGGACCCTGGGGTGGGGGAGCCGGTATTAGGGGAGTACGGGCCACCGGGTGGGGACCGAGCTCCCTGGCTTGACTTCCAGGGCTCACCCCAGGCCCGAGTTTTTCCAAACTGCCCTTCAAACTGTCCCTGTGGGTCACTGACATTTTTCCTTATGAAAAGTCTTCGTGAATCCTTTCCAAAAGCTCTCATTTCAAGAGTGGCTGTCGGAATAGCCAGCAGTCAGTCTTAAGACTCCACGAGTTTTATGCAAAAACAACAAAACCCCACTTTTGTCGGGGTCTGATTTTTGCACCGATGTTCGGGATCTCTGGTTTACCCTAGTTTGACCCGCGCCTGGGGCTGCTTCCCTGGGAAGCAGCAGGGGAGCCGCCGGGGCTGAGCCCGGAGGGCAGGCGCAGGCGGACCAGGCGCTCCTGCCGCCCTTCGGGGACTGCAGCGGTGCTGCCCAGAGCGAGGTCGGCCCCGACCGAGTCAGCGCCGGGGCTGGGCAGGCCCGGCGGCTCGGGAACCTCCCACGGGAGCATGTGACGCCCGCCCGCGATGCACCTGCAGGGCTTAGGCCCGGCCCGCCCCCGGCCCGCCCCCGGCCCGCCCCGGCCGGGGCACAATAAAAGCACCGCTGCGTCCTCTCCGGGAGAGAAACGTCCCGTCCCGGCGGCTCCGGCACCCAGGTATGCGGGACCCCTGGCCCACGCGGAACAGAGGGGAGCTACGACCCACGTGGGAGTCCCTGTTCTCCCCACGAGCAGCGGCCGGGAAGGGGCCGCACCAAGGGCTGGGGAGCCTGAAGGAGGCTCCGCGAGACCGGGGTGGGGTGGGGAGTGGGCTCGGGCTGAGGATGGGGCTGGGACGTGGACGGTGGGTGGGCGGCCGGCCGTGGGAGGGCGCCTACCCGCCGCCCCGCCCTCTAGGTTTCGGTTTCCCGCGAAGCTCAGTTTCGCTTTCCTAGACTCTGACCCTGCCCTTCCACACCGACTTTCCCATCTTGTCTTTGCAGGGTCCAGCCTGTGAGCTCTGCCAGGCCTGGACGCTGGCTTAACATCTGTGACTTCACGTGTGTGCTCTCGCCACATCTGTCGTCACACCTATCTCCACCTTGGCCCAGGAATCCACACTTGGGCAACATAGGTGGTTAGAAGCCCTCAATCCACATCTGTGACTCTCAACACCTGGGTCACACTTGTGGCACCTTGGCCACACTGTGGCCACACTGTGACACCTGGAGTGACACACGAGGAACCCGTATCTCACCTGTGATAATACCTGCCACTGCCCCTGCCCAGAATCTCAGTGAAGGGCCCCCTGACTCCCAGACTGACCGTCTATAAAGAACAATGGCTGTAGTTCCTCAGAGGTGAGAACTGCCAGCCTGCCTGCCCTCCCTCTCCATGTGATCCCTGGGCCTGGCGCTTGGCCCTGACCACGCGTGGCCACCCCACCCGCAGGGGGGTCCAGCGTGTTCTGTTTGGAGAGTGGCTTCTGGGTGAGGTCAGCAGCGGCTGCTACGAGGGGCTGCGGTGGCTGGACAACGCCCACACTGTCTTCCGGGTGCCCTGGAAGCACTTTGCTCGCAAGGACCTAGGAGAGGCAGACGCCCGCATCTTCAAGGTGGGGCCCAGCCCCACTCCCACGGAAGACCTGTCTGGGACCCCAAGGCTCCACCCCTCGGCCTGTGTTTTCTGTTTTTTTCCCAGGCCTGGGCAGTGGCTCGAGGCAGGTGGCCACCCAACACTGGCGGGGGCGACAGGACACCCCCAGAGGCCGAGGCTGCAGAGCGTGCGGGCTGGAAAACCAACTTCCGATGCGCACTGCACAGCACACGGCTCTTCCGGATGCTGCAAGACAACTCAGGGGACCCTGTGGACCCACACAAGGTGTACGCGCTCAACCCTGCGCTGGAGTGGAGAGGTAAGGAACCCCCCAGGTTGGACAGGAAGGTAGGTGGATGGGTAGAGGGCTCCGCCTTATCTTGGCCTCCAGGTTAGGTGTCCAGCCCCATGTTGGGGTGTCCTGCTTTAAAGCCCCAGGCCTTGCCACCAGGTGCCAGGTCACTGAGGGGAAGAGGTTAACAGCAAGGAAGGAGCAGGGTGCTGGGACCTGGGGGTACTCAGGACATTCACAACCAGGTCTTATGCCAGCCCCAGGTCCAACTGGCCCCCCACTTTTGGAAGGCCCAGCTGTCTATCAGAGGGAAGAAGAGGCTCTTGAAGGTGCCCTGCCTACACAGGTACAGGCTCTGCCCATCTCTGCCCCTGGTTGTTGGGGCTGGGAGCTGCTTACACCAGACTGTCTTCCCCTTGCAGGGTGGGCCCCTAGGACCATTCCTGGCAGGAGACACCAAGCTGCAAGCCCCAAGCCCTTTGCCCATCCCAGCAGGTGACACAGGGGACCTCTTGCTCCAGGTTCTTCAGCACAGCCTCCTGGGGGACCCCCTGATGGAGGCTGCAAGGCGGGTAGACCCAGCCCCTCCGGGGCCTTCTGGTGAGGGACAGCAGAGGCCATTCTGTTCTGCAGGGGCTGTACTGAGGGAAGGGGGCAGACAGGACAGCACAGACCCTGGGGAGAGGGAAAGGGACCCAGTGTGCTGGGGTGGGCCCTTGAGGAGGATGTGGGGTGTTGGGGCACCATGAAGGGCAAGTCCGGCAGAAACAGAGCCACCCCAGCTGGGTAACTTGGGTGTTGCACTGTCACTTTCAGGCCCAGAGCACCCTTTGGAGGCGCTTCATACAGCACAGGCAGTGGAAGCTGTCCCCAGCCCCAGGCCTCAACACGTGGCCCTGATGACAGGTGAGAAGCTGCGGTAGGGATGGGGATGGGGAGGAGGGGGTTGGGGACCGGAACCAATTCAGCCCTTCCCAGATGCAGGCCAGGGTACAGCCCCAGGGTACCTGCATGCAGCAGAGCCTATGACAGCACCCTTTGCTAGCAGGGCACCCCAAAGGGAGGTGGCTGGGTACCGCCTGTTCCGCACACACCTGTTACTCACAGCTTGGTGTATGCAGATCCCAGCCCAGGTGCCCTGGACGTGACCATCATGTACAAGGGACGCACAGTGCTGCAGGCAATGGTGGGGCACCCCAGCTGTGTGTTCCTGTATGGACCCCCTGGCCCAGCCATCAGGGCCTCCGAGCCCCAGCAGGTGGTCTTCCCTAGCCCTGCTGAGCTCCCTGATCAGAAGCAGCTGCACTACACAGAGAAGCTATTGCAGCATGTGACCCCTGGCCTGCAGCTGGAGCTGCGCGGACTGGCACTGTGGGCCCGGCGCATGGGCAAGTGCAAGGTGTACTGGGAGGTGGGCAGTCCCTTGGGTTCTGCCAGCCCCTCCAGCCCAGCCCAGCTGCTGGAGCGCAACTGCAACACAGCCATCTTCGACTTCAGCACCTTCTTCCGAGGTCAGTGAGGCACCTGCCTGGGAAGTGGGCCTAGGACTCTAGGTATTCCCCTGGGGGCCTTGCCCACCCTGCTCACCAGAGCCATCGCCTGCAGAGCTGGGGGAATTCCGGACACGAAGGCGCCAAGGCTCCCCACACTACACCATCTACCTGGGCTTTGGGCAGGACCTGTCAGCAGGGAGGCCCAAGGAAAAGAACCTGGTCCTGGTGAAGGTGAGGCCCGGGGCCAGGAGGGTGAGAAGGGACTGCCTGGACCTCAGGTTACCAGGCCCCTGACAGATGCCCCCCTGCAGCTGGAGCCATGGCTGTGCCGGGTGCATCTGGAGGGTGTGCAACGTGAGGGCGTGTCTTCCCTGGACAGTGGCAGCCTCAGCCTGTCCCTGTCAAGCACCAACAGCCTCTACGATGACATTGAGCACTTCCTCATGGAGCTGGAACAGCCAGCTTAACTCCCTATCCCAGCCGCCCCCAACAGAAGAGTGCCGAGAACCAGTGCTGTCCTGTTCTCCCTGCTGGCACTACTGACCAAACATGCAGGGCCCTGGCAAGGGAGGTGAAGCCCAGGAAGCACACTGCAGACCTCCCCTGCATGCCCACTCTTCTGTCTATCGCGCACTCAAGCGACACACTGAAGTGCTAATAAACCACTCGCTGGATACAAATGCCCCTGAGATGGGTGTGGGGGAAAGCTGCTCCACCAGGAGAGCTGGGGAGGTGCCATCATGTGCCCAGTGGTGCCTGTCCTGCCTGGAGGTCTGGAGCACTGTGCTCTGCCTCCTGGGAAGCAGATGGTGGAGTGCAAACCTGAAACAATTACCTGAAGGGGCAGAAGGCCATTTTAAAACTGAAAATAGAGAAATTGCTAAGAGAGAGACAAAGGAGGCCACCTGGAAAAGGATCCAGGAGTCCCTCCCTGCCCCAGACTATCACCAAAGGCTTCACCTTCCAAGTACTGAGGCCACAGGAAAGTTTCTAAAGATAAGCCATTTTTGATAAATTAGAACACAATGGAAACAGTGTATCTATAATATACATATAAAAAAGTCCAGTTTTCAACTGTGAGCAAGACAGGTGCAGACCGGTGTCATCACGGGAGCCCAAAGGCAGGAGTGCTGGTGGCCCCAGGCCTTTGTCACAAAGGCTCAAGGGTCTCAGGCCTCGGTCCCCTGGGCGGGCGGCTCCTCCCCAGCCTCAGTCTTCCTGTGCTTACGCATGTGCCTATACTTGTCCACGTAGGCCTTCACCAGATTGGCCACCTTCACAGGGTTGATTTCACCACTCTTGCTGTGGCAGATCTGGAGAGTGAGATCTGGTTACCCAACATGCTTCAGGCCAGACGCTGCAGCAACAGGGCCTGAGCCCAAATATCCAGGCCTCCATCCCCACAGAGCAGGGCCCAGGGTTCTGCCTACAGGGTCGTGCCATTTGTCTACCACCTCAAAGGGTTGCTGAGGGTGCCCCAAGTGTCACAGGTTTGTAGACATATCCCCCAGGGCATTTACCACCTGCAAGCTGGGCATGCATCGGGCCATTTTAAATGTCTTGTGTTATTTTAGCTTTTTCAAAAGCATGAATGTTCATGAGTGAGGGGCAGCTACAGAGAGAACTGACCCAAGGCCTCAATCAGGACATGGTCTGGCAGGCCAGGCCCAAGCTATACTTACGGACCCTGAAAGTCTGTATTGGCAAGAAAGAGCAGTGACCTGCCTCCTGCCGGGCCATGCTGCCCAAGACCTCAGGGCTCCCCAGCAAGGGCACCGGTGCCTGTAGCCCACCTTCTGCACGGCTTTGCGTAGGATGTCCTTGTACTCCTCCTTGGTCACCTCTCTCTTCTGGTAGAAGGGTTTGATGGCCAGCTTCACCTCCTCCACAGCTCGCTCCTGCATGTGCAGCTTCTTCATGTACTAGGAGGGAAGACACCCGTGACACCAATGGCAGGGGAGGGCCTTTGGTGCGAGGCCCCATGGTACTGGGAGCCATTTCAGCCCAGAAGCAAGAGGCAACCCCAGTAGCTCCCACCATGACGGAGCCCCCCGGGCTGGCTTCTGCTCCTCAACTTAGCCCCAGGAACCCTGGGAAGGGCCAGTGGCACTCACTTCCTCCTTCCTGGTCTTTTCTGCGGCTGGCCTGGGAGTGGCCGTCCTCTCCTCCAAGTCAGTGGTGCTGGCTTGACCAGCTGGCTCTGAGGCTGTAGCTAGTGCGGTGGGCACAGGGGCCACACTCTGGGCCACCCCACAGCCCGCGAGAGGAAGGCTCCCTTGTAGGATAAACTGGACTGAGGGTTGGCTGATCAGTGTGTACGGTGGGATGCTTGGAGGCTGAGCCAAGCCGGGAGGCATGTTGGAGCTGTAAACCTGGACAAAGAATGACCCACTGAGTGCAGAGCCCTGAGGGTTGGCAATACCCCTTTGCAGCCCCACTCTCGAAGCACAGGGGGGCAGGGCAGAAATGAAATGGCACCACAAGGCCTTGGTCCTAGCTGATGTGGCCATGTGGCTCATGTCCTCTAGCCCGGCACCTACCTGAGAGGGGTTCATGTCAGGGAATCCAGGCTCTAGGAGTATGTGGCTGGGAGGTGGCAGCTCAGAGATCAGCGCCTGAGTGTCGCCTATGGGGCCCCCATCCTCAGTGTCCCAGGCTTCTTCCCGCGGCCTCTGTGGCCTGTGAAGTGGCGTCCCTGGGGGTCCAACACACAGGGGAGGTGGGTGCCCTGGGACCAGCCTCGGCCAGAACACAGCCTGCTAGCTGGAACCCTAGAGAAGCACTGGCAGTCGGGGACCACAAGGTCAAGCCCAAGGACCTCCCTGGGCCTACTGGGGCTAGGCCCTGAAGAGCCAGGGAGGTGGGGGCCCCTGGGTGGCTGCTCCCTGCCCCACCCACAGGGTGCTCCACCCACAGGGCACCCTGCCTGCTCAGCCACAGAAGCACATACTCACTTGAGCCTCTGTCCGGGACCACAGCGGCCCCCTCAGACTCCTGGAGGTTCCAAGTGACGCGTTTCACCAAGGCACGGGACCGCAGCAGGGGGGCTTGCACTGCTGCTTCCTCAGGCCTGGCCACCTGGCACACCCTCCCACTCCCTGAGGGGCTGTCCTCCTCTACTGGTGCCACACCCAGGGCGCTGGGAGCCATGACAGTGTTCTCTGCCAAGTCTGGCCTGAGTGGGCGCTGCTCTGGGGGTCCCTCTGCCGGGGGCAGGGGGTGCACAGCGTCTTCACTGTGGATTAGTGACACCTCCCTCTGGATGGCAGCCAGGGTGGGGTCTTGTGCCTGCGGGGCTGGGGGCCGTGCAGGGTTGGGCAGGAAGCTTCGTTCTGGGGAGGAGTCAGTGCTTTCGGGGGAAGGAGGTGAGCTCATGTCATCCAGCTGGATGAAGATGGCTTCACTTGAGAAGTCCTCGAAGACGTGGCCCGCCTCCACAGAGGCCCCATAATCCAGGTCCTCAGGTGCACACTCAGCTGGCTCCTCCAGGACAGGGGGTGCCTGTGGGAGCACCTGGCCAGACACCCCCACCTCTGCCACGATGCCTGCCTCTGCTGGGACCGGTGGAGTTACTGAGTGGTCTCCACCCTGCCTCAGCTCCTGCTGCAGAGCGGGCACCGGGGACGCCTCCTTGGCAGTTCCCTTCCTCTCCAGGGAGCGGGGCCGCTTCTCTCGGGAACGTGGCTGCCGGGGCTCTCGTGCCCTGTGCTCTGAGCTGGGCGACCGTGACCTCCACTTCCTTCTCTCTCGGGCCCGGCCTGTGCTCTCCTTGTTGGGCCGCTCTCGGCTCCTTTCCCGCTGGTGCTTGTGCCTCCGGGCCCTCTCCAGGCTGCTGGGTGGAGAGCAGTCCCTCCCACGAGACCTGGACCCCGACTGTCGCCTCCTCTTTCTCCTGCTCCCATACCGCTCGCAGGAGGAACTGGCGGGGCTTCCTGAGCGTGACCGGGACCTCCTCCGGCCTCGTCCCCTGGAGTCTCTCCTCCGCTCCCTACTCCTGTCCTGGGCCTTCCTCCTCTTGGCTCTCTCCTGGCTGCTGGCGCGGTCACTGGAAGACCTCCTGTGTTTGGCCTTGGCCTGGCGCCCCCTGGAGTGCTCCTCAACCGAGGGTGAAGCTGAGTGTGAGGTCCTGTCTCTGGAGCCAGAGTGGGTCCTGGAGCGTGTCCGCCGGTGCTCCTTGGTCCCCCTTTTCCTCTTGGCCTTCTTCCTGCTGCTGGAGGTGGAGCGGGAGCGGGATGGGGCCCGCAGCTCCACAATCCTGTGGGTGGCTGCCTGTGGTGCATCTGGGCTGGGGGAGGCCTCCGGCTCCAGGATAGTCACACAGGTTACCATCCGCTCCTCAGAGCCAAAGAAGGTGCCGTGGGCAGCACCATCTTCGTCATCCCAGGGGTCCTGGGGGGATGGTCTCTGTGCCCGGGCAGCAGGGCCCCGGCTTTCTGTAGGCTCCTCACCTAGCTCTTCTTGCTCCACATCAGAGGCCCCCTCAGTAGCACCCTCACCCCGGACCTTGAGCACACTGGACACAGGTGTACCAGGGGGCTCCGCCTCGGTCTCAAAGACACTTTCCACAGTATAGGAGGTGACACAGCGCACAGCCTGAAATGCCGGGGCCTTGGGACTGTTGATGGAGATGGTTCTTGTAATCTCCGATGGTAGGAGGCTGGGGCCAAGACTCTCAGGGCTGCTGCTGGGAGGGCTTGAGTCAGAAACTGTGGGGTCAAAGGGGTCATATATCTCACTCTTGAGCTGCTTCGTCTTCTTGATAGAGAATAGCGGGGAAGGGTTCTCCTTCCTCTGTACCTTGCTGTCCACAGGCCGGAAAGTGTTGCAGAAGCCAGGGCTGGACAGTCGGCTGCAGTGTGCTGTGTTTCCAGGGATGTTGATTCTGAAGCTCTCAAAGGTGGACCCAAGACCCTTTCCTCTCGAGGGCCCCAGGGAGGCTAGGCTGCCATGAGAGCTGGGAGCTGGGGGCCGGGAGCTGCCTGTGTGTGACCCAGAGTTCTGGGGGCCCCTGTTGCTGGGCTCGTTCTCTGCCCGGCCTTGCGCTGGCTGCCCAGGGCCCTCCCTGCCTGTTAGGCGACTGATGCAGGTGCTGGGGATCTCCACACTCTGTCCTTGGGGTGGGGCTGCGTCTTGCCTGCTGCCAGTGCCGTCCCTTTGGATCTTCGGTATCCTGGGCAGTTCGGAGATGGCGGTCCTCCGAGGAGGTGGTTTTGGGGTGTGACCTAGGGCTACACTTCCTAATGGAGAGTTGGAGCAACTGCTGGAGATCTTAGATGAGGCAGAACCGAGAGATAAGGACTGCTTGCTGGTGCCATTAAACCAGGGGCTGCCACTTTGTCGCAAGCTAGGCCCACTCCCGTTTGACAGGTTCTGAGCCTGGCCTGATCCAGGAGCCGGGGAGGCACCCGGCCGTACAGGCACCCCTGCTGAACAAGCAGGGTTATGTGGGGCCGACCTGGCCTGGCCGCTCAGCCCTGAGCTCTGCGGCCTGTCTCCTGTGAGTCTGCTAGCCGGGATCCCCGAGGATGGTACTCCAGTCTGCAGGCTGTCCCTGGGCCTGGACCTTTCCTCACCTCCGGACACACCCACCGAGTTCCGCTGAAGAGAAATTGGAGCTAGAAACAAAAAGGCCAGACGCCAGTTGTGCCACCACTGATTTAGGAAATTTGATGACTTGTACTATCATCAGAGCCGACGCTGGGCCACAGGAAGGGTAGCCCACGCAAGGCAGACCCCAATAGTGTGCTGCCTCCCTCCTTGCTGAACCAGAGGAGCACCAGGGGCAGGACTGCCACCCTCGTTTTGTGAATGTGAAACCTGCTGATGTGTTCTTTCTCTTTTGCTCTGGGTGACACCACTGTGGATCAGCACCACACTGGCCTGGCAGGCAGGAGGGTCTGTGAGCTGCTCTGCAAAGGCCACCGTTCCTACACAGGAAGCGATGGAGCCTCGCACCCTCCCTCTGCTTATGTTTGGGCCTCTGGTACCTCGGTGCTCTCACCCCCAGCCAGAGCACAGCCCAAGGACAGGGCTTCCACTGCCATGGCTGCCGAGGAAGGGGCCTCTCACCTGCCCTCTTGGCACTGAGAGAGCCGTCCCGGTGGATGACCACGTCCGCGCTGCTCATCATCAGTAGGCTCTGGCCTGACAGGATGCTCCCCAGCAGGTCTGGGAGAGGTGCCTCCTCCACGCTCTCCTCCTGGGTGGCAGGGAGCGGCCTCCTGTGGACAGAGATGCACAGCGGGCCCTGCCATCTAACCGGCCTCCTCCCCACCAAATCTTTGTAGCTTTATTACAAAAATCACCTGACACTAGTGCCTCACCCCACTGCCAGGCAAAAGCTGGCAATTAAGTACCTCTGCCTGTTTTGTTTGTTTAAGTCTATGATTTATTTTTACTTTTTTGGTCCCGGGGATAGGACTCAGGGAGCTCTACCACCAAGCTACATCAACAGTCCTTTCGGTTTTTTATTTTGAGTCTAAGTTTTTTTTAATTTTGGGTCTAAGTTTCCCAGCTTGACCTTGAACTTGAATCCTCCTGTCTCAGCCTCCTAAGTAGCTAGGATTACAGGCATGGCCACTGTGTCCAGTTTTTCTTAAAGGAGTCACAGAGAATAGATTTAGCCAGGTGGTAATCATGGACCAGCCCAGGGACAGCCTGCAGACTGGAGTACCACCCTCAGGGATCCCGGCTAGCAGACTCACAGGAGACTGTCCCTGCCTAAGGCCCCTTCCCTTCTAAGGCAAGTGGCCAAGCAGCCGTACCACTAGAGGCAAGGCTACAGCCAAGACTGGGGTCACCACCCTGTCCCTCCCAGAAGCCTCTACTGCCACACACCTGGAGAGCCCCACGGAGACGGGCCTGGCTACGGGCTGGTGAGACTGCAGAGCCGAGCGGGACAGGACCCTCCGCTTCGTACTCAGAGGAGAGGCAGGGTTTGCAGACAGCTCTTCACTGTTAGAGGAGGACACATGGCAAGGGAAGGGGAGCCTGTGCCCCAGGCTCAGCCCAGGCGCAAGAGACCCCTCCAAGTTTTGTCGCCTCACTGAACCCGAGGAGGGTTGGGGGCAGGGACTGCTACCCTCATTTTGTGAATGTGAAACCTGAGGCTTACCCATGCCCATGGCTCCCAGGGGGAAGGGGAGTGGGCACCCACACTGGTGGTCGCCCCACACAGTCACCTGTCAAAGGGGTCCAGCTCGTAGGGGTCCCCAAACAGCGATAAGGAAGCTGCTCCAATATCTGCCCGCATCAGCCCCAGGGAGGGGTCCACTGGCTTGTACACTGATGGCATACAGGTACCTCGGACAGGCCTACAGAGGCCCAGCGTCCGTGCAATTCGAGAACGAGCCGTGACTTCATTCTGAACCAAAGTAACGAAAAAGAATAAATGATCATTGACATTGCAACCTGAAGAGAGCAACAGGGAGAAGCACCTGTCAGCAGGACTCACCCTAGGCCGAGCAGACACCATCCAGAGCCATGGGCTGTGTCTGCACCAAGGTGCGCCTCGGAGGTTGACCTGAGCACACCTGATGTTCCAATGAAGGCATAAACTTGGCCGGCTACTGGGTGGCACTAGATTATCTCTATCATCTCTTTCCTTTTTTTGTGGTACCAGGAATGAAATCCAGGGGCACTGAACTACTGAGCCATATCCTCAGTCCTTTTGAGACAGGGTCTCACTAAGCTACATAGGGCCTTGCTAGGTTGATAAGGCTGGCCTTCAACTTGCACAATCCTCCTGCCTCAGCCTCCTAAGCTGTTGAGATTACAGGTGTTTGCCACTGCGCCCACTTGTCCCTATCATCTCAACAAGAGGGAAAAACCTCAACCAATGATTGAAACAGTTGTCTGTTGACAACCACGTGAGCAGCAGACGTGGACTCGAAACATCATTTCCATTGTACTTATTCATGAAATGCATGAACCAAGAGTCACATGTTCCTTCCTCTAGACTCTAGACAGACAGGGGACAGAGCAGTCCCAGAAGAAGAAAGGAACTATAGAAATAGGCAGATGAGGGCTGGGGCTCAGAGGTAGCGCACTTGACTAGATGTGTGAGGCACTGGGTTCAATGAATAAAATAAAGGTTCACCAACATCTAAAAATATATATATATATAAAAAGAGCTGGGGTTGTGGCTCAATTGGTAGAGTGCTCACCTAGCATGTGTGAGGCACTGTGTTCGATCCTCAGCACCACATAAAAATAAAATAAAGGTATTGTGGCCACAACTAAAAAAAAAAAAGGCCAGCCGCAGTGGTGCACGCCTGTAATCCCAGCAGCTTGGGAGGCTGAGGCAGGAGGATCACAAGTTCAATCCCAGCCTCAGCAAAAAGCCAGGTGCTAAGCAACTCAGTGAGACCCTGTCTCAAAATAAAATACAAAAATAGAGCTGTGGATGTGGCTCAGTGGTCGAGTGTCCCTAAGTTCAATCCCTGGCAAAAAATAAACATGTTGTGTCTGCCTATAACAAAACAAAACTAAACTTAGGGGAAAAAACAGAAATAGGCAGATGAAGAAGGCAAGCTCAGGGTGGAGCCCAGGAGCCTTTGGAGCGCCCTGGGTGTAGGAGGGGGCGGCACTGACATTGCCAGGCCCCAGAGGTTGAGGGCAGCGTGAGCTCCGGGAGCCACAGAGCTGGGACCAGCATCCACCAGACACGCTCCCCTTTGTCACAGCTTCAGTGGCTCCTTACTCCAGATTCTGATCTCAGTGAATTACCAGACCAGATGTTCAAACTGCATTTAAAAGTAAAAAGTGCTTATATAAATGTTCACCACAGACACGGATCAGGACAACCATTTTGAGTATAAATTCCAGGGATGCGGCAGACACCTGGTCGAGGGCTGCAGTTCAGTGCTCTCTCTCCCAGATGTCAAAGTGGTGAACGCCTGCCTCACACTGAGTCTAAGGCTCCTGAGAAGGGCCTGCTGGACACAGGCTGCTCATACTCCAAAGAGGGGCTACTGATGCCAGCAAGGGTGTGTCCTTGCCCATTCTACTGGCTTCCGATTGTCCACCTACTGCCCTGGCAGCTGGCTAGCCCAGATGGTGATCTCTGCCCCAGGACAGGCTCCAGGGCTGTTGCACAGCCAGCCTGAGGGCCTAGAATGTCTCTGCACCTTCCAGCTGCATCAAGGCCCTGGCTGGACTCAGGGAGCCACTGAGGAGCTAGGCCTCCTCCTAAGCCCCGCAGGGTAGCCCCAGCCAGCAGAATACCAGGACGCCACCTTCACCTGGGCCTTTGGGACTCTCCCTTTCCTCCTCTTCCCGTGACGCTGACGCTTCTTAGATCTTGTGCTGGCACCTTTACTTTTCGTAGAAGACCTGGACTGTGTTTTCCTTCTTCCCGGCACTTTCTTCCGTCTCCCTGGAAAGACAATGAGGAATACCTGTGCCCTGTGCCGGGTCCCACCCCACAGGACTCTGCATGCTGGCAGGGACTGATTCTCTCTCCCTTCTTTCTTCACAGTGCTGGAAAATGAACTCGACCTCACGCATTAGGCAAGCGCTCTACCACTGAGCTCACACTGAGTCTAAGGCTCCTGAGAAGGGCCTGCTGGACACAGGCTGCTCATACTCCAAAGAGGGGCTACTGATGCCAGCCCTGGCTTGGACTTTTAAAATGCCAAAATAAGCCATAAACCATTTAAAGAATAATGTATCTCTAAGGGGAGGGGGAGGGAAGGGGGAGCAACAGGAAGGGCCTCAACTTCCCTGAGTAATCTAGATCTGACTTTTAGACTCCTTCAATATTTTATGTGATTATGAAACGAGAATGGATTAGAAGAAACAGACACTGATAACCAAGATTCAAGGCAACAATGACCTCACCGTGGCCACTCGTGACGTGGTCACTGACAGCTCTAGACTGGAGAACAGTGAGTACACTGCACCCTCTGCGACAAAATCCAATGCCAAGGACCCCCTCCTCTCCACTGCCATGGACTCTTGCTCCAGGGCCCCTCCAAGACTCAGAAGGGGAGGGAAGCCAGTCCAACATGCTTGTTGGCCCAGTCTGCCAGGGCCAGAAACCCTAACTGACCTGCTCTGGAGGACCGCAGACCTGGTGAAGGAAGAAGAAACATCAGCCTAGGGCAGGCTGCAGATGGTGCAGGAAGGCATGTCTTCCCCAGGGCCTCTAGCTAGTAACCAAGCGAGGAGTGTGGATGTACCCACCTGCAGTTTCCCTTCCACGGCCTCAGTTACATGCAGTCAACCACAGTCTGAGCAGATCACATGGAAAATTCCAGAAAAAGTGCACCTAAGTTTTAAACTGGCATCGTTTTGGGTAGCATGGTGAAATCCTGAGCCATCCCACTCCACCTGGCCACGACTGGGTACCTGGCAGCTGCTCTGGCAAGCAGATCCACAACACCCGTGCCAGAGGGACCCTTACGAAGGAGCCCATTGGGCAGCACAGGGGAGCAGGTACAGTGCAGGAGATATTGTGAGAGAGACGACATCCACGTGACTTTCGTTATCGTGTACTAACTGCCATGCTTCATTTCTGAGTTACAACTGCCATCTCTTCCTGCATCCAACCTTTAAGTTCAACTTTATCATATGGTCTGGATTGTGGCTCAGTGGAACAGCACTTGCCTAGCATGTGTGAAGCACTGGGTTTGATCCTCAGCACGTGGGGAGGGAGGGAGGGAGGGAGGGAAGAAAGAAGGAGGGAGGGAGGGAAGGAAAGAAGGTTGGTTTTGTGTCCATACACAACTAAAAAACTTTTTTTAAACTAAGAAAAAAAAAAGTTATCATAGGTGATGAATGCAGAGAAAAGGCATGGTATGTCCAGAGTTTGGTGCTATTAATGGGGTGTTTTAGAACAGGTCCCCTGAATAAGGGGTACGGCTGAAATGATGGAATGGTGCTGCCTAGTAATTGAGACAATGCAGCTTTCTGACAGAGTGTACCCTACCCCAGGGCACCGTCACAAATAAAATCTAGCCACAAGAACTCACACAGCTGGTCAGGCCTCTAAGCTCCAACCAGAGTCTTTAAGCAGGCTGAAGGACAGGACACCAGAGATGATGAGCACACCCCATGGGACAGAAGGCCTGGTCCCCACAGGTGGAAAACACAGGACAAACATACACAGCCCCTGGGCCCAGCACCAATCTGATGCAAATGCACACTTGCTTTTTGAAATAAGACCGTGCTAAATTGTCCAGGCTGGCCTCAAACTTGACAGTCTCCTTCAGCCTCCTAACAGCTGGGATTACCAGCATAAGCTATCATGTCCTAACTAAAATTTATAAAAAATTTAATCACATGGGGCTGGGGTTGTGGCTAAGTGGTAGAGTGCTTGCCTAGCATGCACGAGGCACTAGGTCTGATCCTCAGCACCACATAAATGTAAAATAAAGACACTGTGTCCACCTAAAACTAAAAAAAATAATAATATTTAAAAAAAATTAATCACATTCATGACACATTAGAACTTTCAACTCTGGTTACCTCATGGTATTAGAGTTGGTGCTCATTTTCTCAGATTTAACACTGGAACTGTAGTTGTTTTTAAAAGGACTCCCTCTTTGGGGCTGGGATTGTGGCTCAGCGGTAGAGCACTTGCCCAGGACGGGTGAGGCTCTGGGTTCGAACCTCATCAACACATAAAAATAAACAAATAAATAAAATAAAGGTTAAAAAAAAAAAAGGCTCCCATTTTTAGGAATATACTTCAAGATATTTATAGATATAATGATGATACTATGAAGGATCTACTTCACATAAATGAAAAGGCAGGAGTGGATGGAATGGAGATGAAGGAAAACTGGCTGTGAGCAGACACAGCCCGACGGATGGTGGAGTGGGGCTTACTACTGCCTCTTCCCGTTCATGTGACAGAGGCTTATATTATAGGAGGCACAACAGCAAACTAAGCCAAAGAATACCAACACCGGGGCTGGGGATGTGGCTCAAGCGGTAGAGAGCTCGCCTGGCATGCGCAGGGCGCTGGGTTCGATCCTCAGCACCACATAAAAATAAATAAATAAACAAAGATGTTGTGTCCACTGAAAACTAAAAAAAAAAATTAAAAAAATTCTCTCTCAAAAAAAAAAAAAAAAAAAAAAAGAAAGAAAGAAAAAAGAATACCAACACCCACACAGGCACAGCAGGACACATCATGCAAAGGCAGCCAGACAACTCTGCCAGGCTGTCCTCCTTGATGTCCTTGGTGGGCAAGTTGGCACAAGAGCAACAAGGCCACCCTTGCATTTCTAACCAGAGTGAGGACAGCAGGCCAGTGCTGCCACCCTAAGCCCAGTCGTGTGTAACGGGAAGACACAGGATGAGACATGGAAAAAGGGAACACGGGTGTGCAACATGTCCTGCCTCACTGGTTTGCACAGCCTGGAGCGTGGCTAGGTGCACAGCTCAGCTCTGGTGTTCGCGGGCACTCACCACTGTAGGAAGGAGCCTTGGGGGAGCCCTGGATAGTCATGCGTGCCCAGGCAGAGTGCACTGGGAGACGCCAGCCTGCGTGCCCATGGACACAGTAAAGCGACACCCCGACCACACTGCAGGTGGGAGAACGAGCAGCACTTGGGACGCTCCCATTCTACTCAGGCGAGTGTGAAACAGTGAGAACTGGAAACAGGTTCTGCAGTTCCAACCTCTCTGCAGACAGGAAACTTCTGCTCACAGAAGGACCTGTGAGTGCATTTGCCACAGCAACTTCACTCTTCTTTTTCTTTCTGGTACTAGGATTGTCCTGGGCACTCTACCACTGAGCCACATTCCAGCCCTTTTTGAGATAGGCTCCCACCAAGTTGCCCAGACTGGCCTTGAATTTGCAAGCTCCCTGCCTCTGCCTCCTGAGTGGCTAGGATGACAGGAGTGGCCACTGTGCCCACGTATACTTGACTGAGTAAATTAAGTTGCAGAGGGAGGAAACAGAGGTGACCACATCCCTGGGCTCTGGGGCAGAACTGCTGGTGGGAGGCGTGCCCATCCTGCCAGGCTCACCTGTCTTCCTCTTCCGTCGCACGGGGCCTCGAGGCGTCAGGGGGCGCTGGTACACTGCTGTGCTCAGGCCAGTTGCAACAGCCTCGATGGTCTCATCCAGCAGAGCAGACATGAGGTACCTTGGCACGTGCTATTGCAAGATTCAGCACTGGTTAGTGGGCGTGTGCACTGAAGACCACCTTTCTGAGGCAGGGATGGTGCCACTACAGACCCTGCACAGAGCCCTGAACACAGCCCACTAGATGCAGCAAGAGAAGTTGGGATATCCTCAGGCTGCAGCGCCATCCTCCCTCCCACAGCCCAGGCCCCACAGCCATGAGGACAGTGATCCCTTGCAGGGCTTCTGGGAAGCAAGCTTTGGGCCAGGACAGACTGGGAACGTTAGGCAAGTACCAAAGAACAAATGAAATTCCAAACAAGGAGAAGGAAGGGGACAGGTGGGAGCAAAGAGCAGAGCCCCAGGTGAGCCCTGGTGGAGCAAGGCACCAGGCAGGTGTGCAGGCAAAAGAGCCTGCAGGGGCCAGGAGGGGCAAGTGAATGAGAGAGAAGAGATTCAAGTGGTGAGAAGGACAGCACCCAAGATGCAGTGGACACCAGAAGGAACAAAGAGCCAGAGGGATGGACTGTGTGGGCTGCAGATGGGAATAGGTCACAGCTTTTCCAACACATCTGGAATTCAGGATACGCCTACCCCCCCACCCCCCAAGAGTAGAGGCACATCTAATCAGAGAGTGTGACACTGAGCACTGGGAGCTGTGTGTGCCAGAAAGCATACTCAGCTCCCTCAACAGGGCCCTGGGGTGTGGGAAGGAGTCTCCTGAGGTCAGGTGGATTGCTTGACTGCTCATCATCAGGGTAACCCCCAAGTCCTGATCCACTTCTGAGACCACAGCACACTGGCCTGCTGGGCTGACTGCATGCAGACCTGGGGCATGGGGCATCTGTCTAGACTAGCATTGCCAACATGTCCACTCTGCATTTCAGTACACCACTGGGGCCACTCTGGGCAAGACAACCTGGCATCAGCCCACCCACCTGGACCCTCCTGGCTGTGGAGATCCGGTTCCGGTTCACGGTTGCTCTCACTCTCTCACTCTGACGTGTCCTAGCGATGGCCCGGGTCCGGCCTGTGTTAGGCCGCAGCCTGCTGGTGGTGGGCACCACATCGGCCAAGAGCTGGGAGACCTCCTCCTCACTCACAGGACCGGCATCTCGGAAGAAGAGAACCCTGGGCTGCTGGGCCAGAGGCACTGTACATCACAGGCCCACCCAGGGGGCTACCCTGCCAAGGCAGGCCAAGGCAGGCCAAGGCACAGGACAAGGGCTCCTCCTAGGCTGGATCCTCCCAACCTCCAAATCACCAAGCCCACCCCCCCACCCCCCGCAGATATACCACAATCCTCCAGGTCCTACCCAAGAAGGTATCAAGAAAGCCATTATCTCTGACAGAAGCCCTGGGGCGCTTCCCACTCATGAAACCAACTCAACCCTGTGGCTCTTCTCTAGGACTGTAGGCCCCATGGGGAAGGACCCAAGAGTTCCATGGGTCAGGGACAGCGCGTTACCAGCGGCAGAAGCAGTGGAGGGCACTGCACACTCTGGACAAAACCACTCATCCACGGGCACCTCCCGCAGAGGGGGCTCTAAACACTCCATGTGGTACCTGTAGGACAAGAGGGTACAGGGGCTGTCAGCCTTGGTCCCTGAGCCCCACAAGCAAGTAAGCTGAGAAGACAGTATCTACATGTGAGCCACCTGCAGTGCACTCTGGTGTGGACAGAGCTGTGTCCCCATGGGACAGGAGGGATATCTATTTTGGTTGATGCTCACAGTTCACTTCCCAAGGCAAGTCACAGAAACCAACCTTCCCTGCTGTTCTCTGACAATAGATGACCCACTTCAGAGGGGACCTGCCCATGCAGGCAGGGGACCCTGAGGAATCCCACAGGGGCCTTGCTGTCAGCCCTTCACTCAATCATTATGTCAAGACGGGTATCCATGCTTCAATTACACCTACACAGTGAAGTTTCCCTAAAGACCCAAAAGAACAGGGTTCCGAGAACTTCTGACAGCTGAGCAGTGAAGTTCCTGCAGGGGTGCTGGCAGAGGACAAGGAAGCCACATCTGTCCCACACCTCACCCTGCAGCAAGCTGTGTGCATGCTCTGTAATGCAACGGTGTAATGCAACGGTAAACTGCCCTTCTCAGCTCTGCAAGCTGCAGGAGCTGCTCAACTGCACACTTCATGTACCTGAGAGAACTGAGTACAGAAAGTGGGTCAGCACATTTCCATGTGGGCTGGGACCAGCACATAAAGCAGGGGCAGTCTGGGGGCTCAGCCCCTGCTGTGTCTCTGATGCCACCTCCTGTGCCAGACCTGAACTGAACACTAAGCGCTAACTGCAGCACTGACTGCTTGATGTCGAGCAAACCGCCACGTCTGGAGTGGGAAGTCGCTATGAGAGTTTCACAGGGAAAACCGGAGTCTGAGTCTACGTTTATTAGTTGAAGCCCTAACCCTGCTGTGCTGTCTGGAGACAGAGTCTTTAAGGAGGTCTTTGCTAAGCAGAGACTCAAAGATGGGGCTCTAATCCGAGACGACTGGGTCCTTGCAAGGAGGGAAGGCCAAGCAAGAAGACTGAGAGGAGGAGGGGCCTCACCAGAACCTCCACAAGACCTGACAGCCAGTGGCTCTTGCCGGGTCCCCACACAAGATAGATGTGAGGCAGACCTGCAGGAAGCCAGGCCAGCCCCTCTGGGAACACAGCACTCTGAGACACACTAGTGCTAGGATTGAATGCTGGGAAGAACCCTGGGTAGATTCTTAAAATCTTTCCTACATGTTCTCTGGGGAAAAAGTCAAGAACCGTTCACAACTTCTTTCAAAGGCTCCGGGGACAGGGCTGGGGTTGTGGCTTAGTGGTAGAGTGCTTGCCTAGCACATGTGAGGCACTGGGTTTGAGTCTCAGCAACACATAAATAAATAAAATAAAGATATATATATATATATATTTTTTAAGAGAGAGTGAGAGAGGAGAGAGAGAGAGAGAGAGAGAATTTTTTTTTTAATATTTATTTTTTAGTTCTCGG